AAAGCAGAAGAGTGAATACATATATCAGAAGAACAGAAAGGGAAAATAACCATCGAGTGACGATAAGAATATGTATATTGAAAGATGACAGCTGATATGAGATTTAGTTTATACTTCCTAACAAACTCTTGTGTAACAAGTGATGAACCAATTCTTGATAAAATCCTTCACAACATCTTAAATGTTTCTTGATGAATTCCTAGTGTCAGGAAATTTCAAGAAAGCGTCTAGGATCTTGACCAAATCTGGTCATTTCTTGTACAGTTCTTAACATTAAGACGGTATAAGAAATTTGCGTACAAAGTTACATTCACTATATTTTATACTGAGTTCTAGAAACCCTAGCATGTCAACGTATTATTAGATATCTTTGTATTAGTCATTTGTTAACAACATTTCTCGGAACGTTGATGTTGCTTTGAGTTATCGTAGATACGCTCTTGAATAGAGGCAGCATTCATAATAATACCTTCTGTAAAACGAACTCATAAGCCTACAAACTTTTTTTCTAAGTATGCCTAAGTTTTTCAAAAAAATTGCTTTATTTTACGTTGGCACTGTGGCAGAGTCGAATATATAAACCAAAAAAATCTCTTGGGTGCTTCCACACAGCTCCGCCCACTTTTACACTGACCTCACGCCCCCATGATCTCGACCCCATCACGTTATAGCCCTTGAAAAACTGAGTCTTAGAGCAGTTCTCGTTTTTCCAAAAGTGATGTCGGCGGGGGTTTTCTGGAGGCTCGAAGTTCCGAAAAACGACTATTTTACTCCTTTTTCTTCGATTTTTTATTTTGTCAAAGACGATGTCAACATGTAGAAAATCGTTACTTTGACCTCTTATAACTCGTGACAGGACTGTCCGATTTTATTGAAAATTTCATAGATTATTAAGGTAGCCGAGTTCTCCATACCCTGAAACTTTCATCAAAAATCTTACCGTGGACCGGACTTTCAAAAACCCAGAGATCGCTGGAGACCCAGCTATATTTATCTTTGCTAAATTGTTCCAAACAGCATTAGAATGAAGAAAACACACTTTCAGTCTGTTTCAATAAAACCGGGCGGTCCTTTCACAAGTTATAAGAGGTCAAAGTAACAATTTTCTAGAAATCTCAATTTTTGAGATCCGTATATTTCGCACTTACAGGGGTCGATCGAGTTTATTCTTTCGGCATTCGATAGATCTATCTCTAAGCTACTCTTTCATGTCTGAAAGATTTTACTTAGTCTTCTTTTCGGTGGTTCCGCGAGACTCACAAAATTCCAGCTTTTGGCTTAAATTACAAGGATTTTCACTACCAAAAACCCTACAAAATTCATTCAGAAGACTTTTCCAAGGTAACAGAATGATAGACCGTGAAAAACTCTATAGAATTGTACTATTTGCAACATGTTGACAGCGTCTTTGGCAAAATAAAAAATCGAAGAAAAAGGAGTAGAATAGTCGTTTTTCGGAACTTCGAGTCTCCAGAAAACTCCCGCCGACATCACTTTTGGAAAAACGAGGACTGCTCTAAGACCCAGTTTTTCGGGGACTACAACGTGATGGGGTCGAGATCATGGGGGCGTGAGGTCAGTGTAAAAGTGGGCGGAGCTTTGTGGAAGCCCCTCTTCTAATAGACTCAAAATTTTCTGAAATCTGATCATGCTGAAAATTTAACCATAGGTATATTGCATGCCTTAGAACCTATCATTAGTTTATCCTATCATTTTGTTTTACTCATTCATTGATTATACGCCTATGGCAAAAGAACTGATTCAAAATAGTTATTGTCGTAAAGAAATAAATTGAAATTAAAATGTTCTGCTCTCTAAGCTATGGGTTATCTACTTTTCAGAGAGTTCGATATATCGTTCGTTTGACTACCGTAAAGAAGCGACGTTAATTTTCATGAAAATTTTCTATTTCGAATACAAATCGTTTTACCTTGAAAGTAGTTTTCATTTGTATTCATTAAACTTACTGAAGTCTTTGCTTTTCTCGAACTAGCTGAATCAATTGTCGTTGGTCTTCGGTAACCGTTTGTGTTAATGATTTAATTTGTTACGAATTCGTTCCATTTCGTCTCGTACAGTATTCAACATTTGTACTGCTTCAATGAATTCCTTTTAGCTTGACTAGGCTTTTCCTTAGTCTGATTTTCGTCTTATTATAGCTTTTGTTCGTAGTGATTCAATTCATTTTGTCGATTTTTTTTCATATCGATTACTTTCTTCATACGTTCAATCATATTTTCGATTCTGTCATTTTCTTGTTCGAGATGATCACGAGCCAATTTATTTTCATTGAACTGTTGTTGCGATTTACCAAGTTCTTTATAGAGCCAGATTTTTTCGACATTGATATAATTCATATCGAAGACGTTCAATAGTTTTTCCAATATGTTAAATTTCGTTCTTGGTTTCGTTCAAATGAATTTTTAATTCTTTCCATTGTTGATTAATCTGTTGAATTTCTTGAATAACACTTTGTTGTTTCTTCTCGATCAGTTGATTTTCGTGTTCAAGATATCGTAGTTATTCTTCGAAAGATAGTTTTTGTTCCTCTAATCTGTATAATTATTCTTGAAATTGTTCAAGTTCACCTTTAATTTTCTGTAATTCATCCTTCAAATGTGAATGTTCATTTCTACGATGTTCAACATCGATTTTTCGTTGTTCATCACGTAAATTTTGAAGTTCTTGTTCGATTCGTTCGATTTCACGATTATTTTCCTTGAATTCATTTTGTAAGTGTTGTAATTGTGTTCGATAATCTTCGACGGCACGTTTGTTCTCGTCAATTTGATTCTTAATTTCAACAATTTTGTCTTTTTCATCTTGTAATTTCTTCTTGCAATCGATCTGCTGTATTTGTTTCTGTTCGACTTCACTCATAACATCTTGCTCAAGTGGTTGCTCATTCGAGTCAAACATCATCGATAAAAAACGCCGAGCAATAAGGATTTTCTTTTCCTATGATTCTTATAAGCTGTTAATCGAATCAAAAAATTTCCCTGTTGATATCGACTTCCCCACTCACACGGTTTTTTCCCATCTAACCTTTTTGCTTAGTGTTCTTATGACACATAAAATAAATGACAGAACATGTAAAAAAGCATCAAACAGACAAAAAGCATGTATATCTTGGCATTTTGTTTCTCATACGGATATATTTTCATTGAAAGAATTCGGGCTCCTGTTCTTCCTAGAAGCATTATTTCGTGTGAATAAGTCGTTTGCTTTTTTTTAAGAATTGTATCACAATCAATGAGATAGAAATGGCCAACGATGAACATATTTCAATCGTCGATTATCTACAATCGAGCACTGGTTTTACCGATGACAATTTCCGAATCATTCATAAACAGTATAGACAACAATGTGGTGGATCATTTCCTACATCGCTTAATGAATTTGCCGCTGAACAAGTCCCGGAACAATTGAATATTAAAATTATTACTTCCGGCAGTTTGCAATTATTGTATGACTGTGTCTGGTCTTCAAAAATTGACGATTCTCGATTGTTGATAAAGAAAAAATTGGCAAGCATCGTACAGTCATAGAATGGAATCAGTATAGAAAAAAAGCACATCACTCCGTTCGCCACCACTACAACTACTAATAACGGTATGATGAAACTTTTTTTTCCAACATCGATCACTCAATTAAAGTATGATGATAAAAGGGCTGTCCAAATTATGAAAAACGTAGAATTGAGTCAACTATCAGAGAATCCTAAAAATATGCCCACTAACGACGCAGCTTAATCACTAGCCAAGCGACATTCAATGCTCAAAATGAACATGAAACGTTGTAGAATTCTACATATTGTATCCGCAATCACAATCATAGGGGCCTAGGACTGTTTCGGAAACTCTCATGCAGACCCTACGATATGAGCCCAAAATCCAGCACTAAAATCATGATTCTTCTAGAAGTGACTTACAAGTCTTTAATAGTGAGTTCATGCGTAAGAAGCTACTAGACTGAAGCATTTTTCACATTATTGACTCAATTCTAATTTTCGAATGATTTGGACATTGTTGACTGTAGACGGAAAAGGTTGGTTTTTTCAGTTGTTTCTTTCGCATAAAATAGGAAAAATCAATCTGACTATCTGCTTTCTAGTTTCATCGTCAACAAAAATTGACGATAATACAACATTGCTCACTGAAATTAATTGTGTATTGAACATCAAAATGGCCTGGTCGGATGTGTACAATTTTGTTCACTCATTTCTACTAGAACCAATCGGTCACCAAAATCAATCATCAAAAATGTAAAAAAAAGTGTTGATTTTTCTTCCAAAAAAACAATTCTTCTTGTGATTTATTACTAGCCATTCCGCAATCGATGATGAACAACCATTTCTTCTCAATACGAACTGTCTACTCTATTTATTTATTCGACTACAAATGTCCAAAAATGGACCGGTTACATCAATCGGTCATTCAAATTCGTATCGTTTTCGTATTCTCGAGCCGATCAAAGTTACGGATGACTTTCCTGATTGGGAACATGATGATTGGCAAGGTCTACTCAATGTCGAACTTGAACCTTATGGTAGTAATATTCGATTTCCAACCAAATGGCACTTGGCCGACAATGTTTCAATCCATTGTCGTATTACAAACAGTGATCCAGAAAAAGTTCTTTCGCCACCTTCACCTATCGACAGGCTACAATCGGAAATCAAATTGAAAATATGTATCGAACGATATCGAACAAATGAGAACGGAATCAATGGTCGGTCAGATGCAAATTGTTCTAAGAATGAGAAAACGAAACAGATGAGACGTCACACCAGTGCAGGTTTGTTGCTTGAGAATTATTCGACTCATAATAAGATTTGTTTCTATATTGAAGAACAATCATCGACATTTAACTCTGAACTATACGCAAAGATACATTTAATTAAACTTTGTGTATTATATGAATTGAAAGATCCACGAGCCGTACAATTGCGTAGTATTTTAACTTCAACTGAACCGAAATGTTTGGATGCTGCATTCGAAGAGATGCAAGCCGAAGGTTTTGCTGATGATAATCTATTTGAAAGAATAAAAGAATTCTTTTTTACACTAACTATTTCTGATCAAGACTTGAACTCTCAATGGTCGTTGAGTGGTCATATTCAACAGGCTTGGTCGGCCAGGCATGATCGATTGCGCGAAAATCTCAATGAACTTCAAAGCGATTTTCAATCCAAAACGAATACCTATCAAAAATGCATGGATAAAATTCAGCAATACAGAAAAATATTGAAGATGAAAAGACTAATCACAAAGATATACTAGTCCAATTGGGGTCGAAAAAGTCCACTAAAGGGGTGAAAAGAAATCTTCAACGAATGCTATCGATAACGTTGAAATCGACGAAGCAGATTAAAGAAGCGACACATAATCTACACTGGTTATTGCAAGATGATATGAATTTTGAGGGTGTGAGGGTCGGGTCATTTTTAATAATTAATAATTCCACGAGTGCGATTACTCTATTGTCAAGCTCTGAGAACCTTTTAAATTTCAATGGCTGGTGGGAATATCGTACCGAGTATCTGAATATTTGAATATATGATTTCAGATATTATATCTGTAACAAGATTCGGGTTTGACATGTATGACCCACTCTGAGCTAAGAGTATTAAAAAAACTTAATCTTCTGAAGGTTAAGTCAAATATAGCTCTGCTGCATATTTTTACTAACAATTTTCTGAGAGTTCAGTTCTTGACTCAGGGTGAGTGAAAGTGGGCCAGAGCGCAGTTTACCAATACGCGATGATAATGCTGATGAAAAATCTGATTTGGACATTGCTTAATGACACTGAAAAAATAACACCACTCTAAGGGACACGATAGAAGGCTCGCACAGTGGGCATTTAGGCGGCATTTTCTGAAAAAATCGTAGGTACGAAATTTTCTGTTTTGAATAGCGGTATATATAGTGTAAACAATGCCCTATTTAACAGTGAAAAAATTTTTGTTCTAGC